TGCACCCACCGGTGCTGTGCCCAGCGGTGCTGCGCCCACCTGTTCTGCACCCACCTGTACTGCACCCACTGGTGCTGCACCCACCTGTACTGCTCCCACCTGTACTGCACCCACTGGTGCTGCACCCACCAGCACTGCACCCACCTGTTCTGCACCCACCGGTGCTGCACCCACCTGTGCTGCACCCACTGGTGCTGCACCCACCTGTACTGCTCCCACCTGTACTGCACCCACCGGTGCTGCACCCACCTGTGCTGCACCCACTGGTGCTGCACCCACCTGTACTGCTCCCACCTGTACTGCACCCACCTGTACTGCACCCACCTGTACTGCTCCCACCTGTACTGCACCCACCTGTACTGCACCCACCTGTACTGCACCCACTGGTACTGCACCCACCTGTACTGCACCCACTTGTACTGCACCCACTGGTACTGCACCCCTGGTGCTTCACCCCCCGGGCACAGTCTGAGCCCGGCCTCTGCGGGCACAGAGGGGCAAGGGAGGGGGGGCGGCACTGGTGGGGGGGTACCCCAGGGGATGGAGGCACCTTCAGTGGTGGGGGTACCCCAAGGGATGGAGGCACTAAGGTCTATGGAGCCACCTTAATGGGAATGGACACCCCAAGTGGTGGAGATACCCCAAGTTATGGGGACACCCCAAATGATGGAGATACCCGAAATGATGGAGGTACCCCAAGTGATGGAGCCACCAACAAACATGACCCCCTTCCAAATGCTGCAGGCACCCCAACTGATGCCAACACCCCAAGTGATGGAGACACCCCAAGTGATGGAGGCACCCCAAGTGATGGAGCCAGCAGTGTCCATGGAGCCACCTCAACCCATGGGAACACCCCAAGTGATGGAGATACCCCAAGGGATGGAGATACCCGAAATGATGGGACCACCAACATCCCTGGAGCCACGTCAGCCAATGAGAACAGCCCAAGTGATGGGGATACCCCAAGTGATGGGGATACCCCAAGGGATGGAGCCACCCCAAGTGATGGAGGTACCCCAAGGGATGGAGATACCCCAAGTGATGGAGCCACCCCAAGTGATGGGGATACCCGAAATGATGGGACCACCAACATCCTTGGACCCACCTCAGCAAATGAGAATGCCCCAAGAGATGCCAGCACCCCAAGTGATGGAGCCACCCCAAGGGATGGGGATACCCCAAGGGATGGAGATACCCAAAGTGACGGAGCCACCAACATCCCTGGAGCCACCTCAGCCAATGAGAACAGCCCAAGTGACTGGGATACCCCAAGTGATGGAGATACCCCAAGGGATGGGGATACCCCAAGTGATAGAGATGCCCCAAGCGATGGAGCCACCCCAAGGGATGGAGATACCCCAAGTGATGGAGCCACCCCAAGTGATGGAGCCACCAAAATCCTTGGACCCACCTCAGCCAATGAGAACGCCCCAAGTGATGGGGATACCCCAAGTGATGGAGCCACCCCAAGTGAAGGAGCCACCAACATCCCTGGAGCCACCTCAGCCAATGAGAATGCCCCAAGTGATGGGGATACCCCAAGTGATGGCGATACCCCAAGTGATGGAGCCACCAATGTACATGGATCCACCTCAGCCAATGAGAACGCCCCAAGTGCTGGGGATACCCCAAGCGATGGAGCCACCCCAAGTGCTGGAGATACCCCAAGCGATGGAGATACCCCAAGTGATGGAGCCACCAACATCCCTGGAGCCACCTCAGCCAATGAGAACACCCCAAGTGCTGGGGATACCCCAAGCGATGGAGCCACCCCAAGTGCTGGAGATACCCCAAGCGATGGAGCCACCCCAAGTGATGGAGCCACCCCAAATGATGGAGCCACCAACATCCCTGGAGCCACCTCAGCCAATGAGAACACCCCAAGTGCTGGGGATACCCCAAGTGATGGAGCCACCCCAAGTGCTGGAGATACCCCAAGCGATGGAGATACCCCAAGTGATGGAGCCACCAACATCCCTGGAGCCATCTCAGCCAATGAAACCCCCCCAAGTGCTGGGGTTACCCCCATTGATGGCGATACCCCAAGTGCCGGTGCCACCTCCACCCGCACCCCGTCACCCCCGTCACCGGGCCCCATTGACGACCTCCTGCCGCCGCTGGGGCAGCCGCTGCCCGCGGGTTGGGTGACCCTGGAAGGGGACTTCGTGCTGGTGCTCGCCATGGCCCAGTCCCACCTTGGCGCGGAGCTGGTGGCGGCCCCACAAGCCCGCCCCGACGACGGCCTCGTGCACGTGTGCTACGTGCGCGGCGGGGTGTCGAGGGCCGCGCTGCTGCGGGCGCTGCTCGCCATGGTCCGCGGAGGGGGGGGGTCCCCCTGCACCCTGGCTCGGGTCCCGGCCAGAGCCTTCCGTTTGGAGCCGTTGTCCCCCCGAGGGACGCTGACGGTGGACGGGGAGCGCGTGGAGTACGGGGCCGTGCAGGGGCAGGTGCACCGAGGGCTGGCCAGGCTGCTGACACCCCCCCCGCTGCAGTAATGGGGCAGGGCAGGGGGGATGGAGAGGGGGAAAGAGGGGGGGGAGAGAGCAAGGGGAAGGGGGGAACCCCATGGATGGGGGAGCCCAAGGGGAAGGGGGGAACCCCATGGATGGGAGAGCCCAAGGGATATGGGATGGGGGAAACCCCATGGATGGGAGAGCCCGAGGGACATGGGATGGGGGGAACCCCATGGATGGGGAGCCCAAGGGGAAGGGGGGAACCCATGGATGGGAGAGCCCAGGGGACTGGGAATGGGGGAAGCCCAAGGGGATGGGGGGAACCCCATTGATGGGGGAGCCCAAGGGACATGAGAGGGGGTACCCCCAAGAATGGGAGCACCCAAAGTAAATGGGATGGGGGACCCATGGATGGGAGAGCCCAAGGGACATGGGATGGGGGGAACCTCATGGATGGAAGAGCCCAAGGGACAGGGGATGGGGGGAACCCCATGGATGGGAGAGCCCGAGGGACATGGGATGGGGGGAACCCCATGGATGGGGAGCCCAAGGGGAAGGGGGGAACCCATGGATGGGAGAGCCCAGGGGACTGGGAATGGGGAAAGCCCAAGGGGATGGGGGGAACCCCATGGATGGGGGAGCCCAAGGGACATGAGAGGGGGTACCCCCAAGAATGGGAGCACCCAAAGTAAATGGGATGGGGGACCCATGGATGGGAGAGCCCAAGGGACATGGGATGGGGGGAACCTCATGGATGGGAGAGCCCAAGGGGAAGGGGGGAACCCATGGATGAGGGAGCCCAAAGTAAATGGGAGGGGGAAACCTCATGGATGAGGGAGCCCAAGGGACTGGGAATGGGGGGAGCCCAAGGGGAGAGGGGGGAACCCATGGATGGGAGAGCCCAAGGGACAGGGGATAGGGAACCCCACAAACGGGAGAGCCCAAGGGATATGGGATAGGGGGAACCCCACAAATGGGAGAGCCCAAAGTAAATGGGAGGGGGGAACCCCATGGATCAGACAGCCCAAGGGATATGAGAGGGGGGACCCCCATGGTTGGGACAGCCCAAATGGTCAACCCCCCCCCCCCCCCCAATTGGATGGCCCCAAGAGGTCTGGGCTGGAGGAGGACAGCCCAGAGGGTTGGGGGGGCTTAAAGGGACCCCACAATGGGGAGGCCCAAAGGACCCGGTTATTGCCCGCCCCCCCCCCCCAATGTGCTATGCAATAAAGTGTAACTGTGGAGCGAGCTCAGTGCTTGGGGGGGGGATGGGGGCATGACCCGGTTTGACCCCCCCATCACATCCCCCCCCCCCCCCCCCCATCCTAATGGTTCAGTCGAGGGTCACAGGTTTATTCTATACAAAAGCCTCCCCCTCCCCCCCATCGCCCCTCATCGCGACCCCCAAATCCCACGTGCGGGGGGGGGGGGGGCGGGGGTGGGGCAATAAAGTGGTCGAAGTGCAGGGGGGGAGGGGCTGGACCCCCCCCAATGGGTGTTGGGGGGAGGGGCTGGAGTCAAGGGGCCCTCCCCCCCAGTGACGTTACTGGCCTGCACTGGAAATGGGTCACTGGGGGGGAATGGGGTCCTACGGAGGGGGAGGGGGGTCTGTGGGGTGCGGGGGGGGCACCCAGCACTTGGGGCCCCCCCATTGTGCTTTGAACCAGCCATGGGGCTGGGGAATAAATATGGGGGGAGACACCCCCCCAATGGGGGGGGTTCCCTATGGGGGGGGGGATGTGGATGGACCCCTATGGGGGTGTCCAGGCCTGGTGTGGGGGTGGGGAACAGTCCTGTTTTGGGGGTCCCCCACCATGGGGGGGGGGGTGTGTCTGGCTGGATCCTGATCCCAGTTCTGGATCAGGGCTGGAAATGGGATCCAGGGATGGATCCCGGTGCCAGATCCCGGTCCCATTTCCAGGCCAATCCCGATTCCTGGAGCTGGATCCCAGTGCCCGGCTCCGGCTGTTGGGATCCCTGTGGGGAACGGGATCGTGCCATGGGATTCCCTCCAAGCAGCATTCCATGCACCCCCACCCCCCCCCCCCGACCACGCCATTCCAGACCGGATCACCCCATTCCATGCCAGATCATCACATCCTGCACCCCTACATCCTGCACCACCACCCCATCACATCCCAGCCCTCCCCATCCCATGCACCTCATCCCATCTGGTCCCCCCATCCCACACTGTTCCATACCCCTCCATCCTGCACCCCCCCTCAATCCCATCCCAACCCCTGCATCCCACACCCCGTATCCCCCATGATGTACCAATAACATCCTTCCCTCCCCATCCCCATCCCATCCCCATCTCGTTCTATCCCATCCCCATCTCATCCTATCCTGTCCCATCCCCATCTCATCCTATCCTATCCTATCCCATCCCCATCCTATCCCCATCCCCATCCCATTCTATCCCCATCCCCACCCCATCCTCACCCCACCCCACCCCATCCCCATCCCCACCCCATCCCATCTCATCCCCATCCAATCCCATCCCCATCCCCATCCCCACCCCATCCCATTACCCATTACCAGCTCTCAGAGCGCCCCGTGCCGGGCCTCGTAGCGCGCCAGGAGCCCCCGGAATCGCGCCAGCTCCCTGCGGGCCGCGGCCACGTCCTGCCTCAGCGCCGCGTTCTCCCGCTCCAGGAAGGCCGCGCGCACCGAGATCTGGTTCTCCTTGAGCCGCCGCGCGTCCCGCGAGCGCTTCGCCGCCGCGTTATTGCGGCTGCGCCGGCTCCAGTACCGCTCGTCCTATGGGGGGCACAGGGGGGGCTCAACACAGCCCATAGGGTGCCCATGGGGTCCCATAGAGCTGTGTGTGTGTGCCCATGGGGTCCTATAGAGCTCTGTGTGTGTGTGCCCATGGGGTCCTATAGAGCTCTGTGTGTGCCCATGGGGTCCTATAGAGCTCTGTGTGTGTGCTCATGGGGTCCTATAGAGCTGTGTATGTGTGCCCATGGGGTCCTATAGAGCTCTGTGTATGTGTGCCCATGGGGTCCTATAGAGCTGTGTGTGTGTGCCCATGGGGTCCTATAGAGCTGTGTGTGTGTGCCCATGGGGTCCTATAGAGCTGTGTGTGTGTGCCCATGGGGTCCTATAGAGATGTGTGTGTGTGCCCATGCGGTCCTATAGAGATGTGTGTGTGTGCCCATGTGGTCCTATAGAGCTGTGTGTGTGCCCATGGGGTCCTATAGAGCTCTGTGTGTGTCCAATGGGTCCTATAGAGCTGTGTGTGCCCATGGGGTCCTATAGAGCTCTGTGTGTGCCCATGGGGTCCTATAGACCTCTGTGTGTGCCCATGGGGTCAATAGAGCTCTGTGTGTGTACCCATGGGGTCCTATAGAGCTCTGTGCGTGCCTATGGGGTCCTATAGAGCTCTGTGTGTGAGCATTGGGTCCTATAGAGCTGTGTGTGCCCATGGGGTCCTATAGAGCTCTGTGTGCCCATGGGGTCCTATAGAGCTCTGTGTGTGTGCCCATGGGGTCCTATAGAGCTGTGTGTGTGCCCATGGGGTCCTATAGAGCTGTGTGTGTGTGCCCATGGGGTCCTATAGAGCTCTGTGTGTGTGTGCCCATGGGGTCCTATAGAGCTCTGTGTGTGTGTGCCCATGGGGTCCTATAGAGCTGTGTGTGTGTGCCCATGGGGTCCTATAGGGCTCTGTGTGTGTGCCCATGGGGTCCTATAGAGCTCTGTGTGTGTGTGCCCATGGGGTCCTATAGAGCTGTGTGTGTGTGCCCATTGGGTCCTATAGAGCTCTGTGTGTGCCCATGGGGTCCTATAGAGCTGTGTGTGTGTGCCCATGGGGTCCTATAGAGCTGTGTGTGTGCCCATGGGGTCCTATAGAGCTGTGTGTGTGCCCATGGGGTCCTATAGAGCTGTGTGTGTGCCCATGGGGTCCTATAGAGCTCTGTGTGTGCCCATGGGGTCCTATAGAGCTCTGTGTGTGTGCCCATGGGGTCCTATAGAGCTGTGTGTGTGCCCATGGGGTCCTATAGAGATGTGTGTGTGTGCCCATGCGGTCCTATAGAGATGTGTGTGTGTGCCCATGCGGTCCTATAGAGCTGTGTGTGTGCCCATGGGGTCCTATAGAGCTCTGTGTGTGTCCAATGGGTCCTATAGAGCTGTGTGTGCCCATGGGGTCCTATAGAGCTCTGTGTGTGCCCATGGGGTCCTATAGACCTCTGTGTGTGCCCATGGGGTCAATAGAGCTCTGTGTGTGTACCCATGGGGTCCTATAGAGCTCTGTGCGTGCCTATGGGGTCCTATAGAGCTCTGTGTGTGAGCATTGGGTCCTATAGAGCTGTGTGTGCCCATGGGGTCCTATAGAGCTCTGTGTGCCCATGGGGTCCTATAGAGCTCTGTGTGTGTGCCCATGGGGTCCTATAGAGCTGTGTGTGTGCCCATGGGGTCCTATAGAGCTGTGTGTGTGTGCCCATGGGGTCCTATAGAGCTGTGTGTGTGTGTGCCCATGGGGTCCTATAGAGCTGTGTGTGTGTGCCCATGGGGTCCTATAGAGCTGTGTGTGTGTGCCCATGGGGTCCTATAGAGCTGTGTGTGTGCCCATGGGGTCCTATAGAGCTCTGTGTATGTGTGCCCATGGGGTCCTATAGAGCTGTGTGTGTGTGCCCATGGGGTCCTATAGAGCTCTGTGTGTGTGTGCCCATGGGGTCCTATAGAGCTGTGTGTGTGTGCCCATGGGGTCCTATAGAGCTGTGTGTGTGTGCCCATGGGGTCCTATAGAGCTCTGTGTGCCCATGGGGTCCTATAGAGCTCTGTGTGTGTGCCCATGGGGTCCTATAGAGCTCTGTGTGTGCCCATTGGGTCCTATAGAGCTGTGTGTGTGAGCATTGGGTCCTATAGAGCTCTGTGCGTGTGCCCATGGGGTCCTATAGAGCTGTGTGTGTGCCCATGGGGTCCTATAGAGCTGTGTGTGTGTGCCCATGGGGTCCTATAGAGCTCTGTGTGTGTGCCCATGGGGTCCTATAGGGCTCTGTGTGTGCCCATGGGGTCCTATAGGGCTCTGTTTGTGCCCATGGGGTCCTATAGAGCTCTGTGTGTGCCCATGGGGTCCTATAGAGCTGTGTGTGTGCCCCTGGGGTCCTATAGGGCTCTGTGTGTGCCCATGGGGTCCTAGAGGGCTCTGTTTGTGCCCATGGGGTCCTATAGAGCTGTGTGTGTGCCCATGGGGTCCTATAGAGCTGTGTGTGTGTGCCCATGGGGTCCTATAGAGCTGTGTGTGTGTGCCCATGGGGTCCTATAGAGCTCTGTGTGTGTGTGCCCATGGGGTCCTATAGAGCTGTGTGTGTGTGCCCATGGGGTCCTATAGAGCTCTGTGTGTGTGCCCATGGGGTCCTATAGAGCTCAATGTATGCCCATTGGTTCTACCCCCCCCCCCCATGTACCACTGGGGTCCCCACCCATACACTGGGTGCCCCCATCCCTTTGTTGCCCAATGGACACCTTAGACCCCCCCCCCCCCCCCCCGGGTCCCACTTCCCCATGGGGTCCCCTCCACTCCAATGTCGTGTCTGTGTCCCCCCCCCCCCCCATTTGGGATTCACCCCTCTATGGGTGCCCCCCCCGGGCACCTTCTGCTCCTCGGGCACGTGCACCTTCCGCGCCTTCCTGGCGATGGGCTGGGGCCGCAGCTCGTCCTGCGAGAACCGGAGCCGCCGTGGGTCGAAGGGGGGTCCCCCCCCAAGCGCCTCCCCCTCCAGCGGCGGCTCCCCCGGCACCGGGGGGGTGGGAGGGCACCGGGGAGGGGGGGCGGCGGCGGCTGCAAACGGAGGTGGGGGGGGGGGGGGGAGAAGGGGAGAGAGTGAGAATAGGGGCAATGGGAGGGGGTTTGTATCGCGATAGAGGATCCTTATCAGAATGGGAGGGAGTTTATATCACGATAGAGGGTTCTTATGCCAATGGGTGGGAGTTTATATCGTGATAGAGGGTTCTTATGCCAATGGGCGGGAGTTTATATCGTGATAGAGGGTTCTTATGCCAATGGGCGGGAGTTTATATCACGATAGAGGGTTCTTATGCCAATGGGCAGGAGTTTATATCACGATAGAGGGTTCTTATGCCAATGGGCGGGAGTTTATATCACGATAGAGGGTTCTTATACTAATGGGAGGGAGTTTATATCGTGATAGAGAGCTCTGATTGCAATGGGAGGGAGTTTATATCGTGATAGAGGGCTCTGATTGCAACGGGAGGGAGTTTATATCATGATAGAGGGGTCTTATGGCAATGGGAGTTTGTATCACAATAGAGGGTCCCCATGGCAATGGGAGGGAGTTTACATTGCGATAGAGGGGCCTCATGGCAATAAGAGAGAGTTTATATCACGACAGAGGATCCTTATGGCAACGGGAGTTTATGTTGTGATAGAGAGTCCTTATGGCAATGGGAGTCTATATCATGATAGAGGGTCCTTATGGCAATGGGAGTCTATATCATGATAGAGGGTCCTTATGGCAATGGGAGTCTATATCATGATAGAGGGTCCTTATGGCAATGGGAGAGAGTTTACATTGCGATCGAGGGGCCTTACAGTGACAGGAGGGAGTTTGTATCACAATAGAGGGAGCTTACAGCAATGGGAGGGAGTTTATATTGCGACAGAGGGTCCTTACGGCAATGGGAGGGGGTTTTTATCACTATAGAGGGTCTTTATGGCAATGTGAGGGGGATTATATCGTGATAGAGGGGCCTTATCGCAATGGGAGGGGGTTTATATTGCGACAGAGGGGCCTTATCGCAATGGGAGGGGGCTTATATCACGACAGAGGGTCCTTATGGCAACATGAGGGAGTTTATATCGCGATAGAAGGGCCTTAGCGCAATGGGAGCGGGTTTATATCACGACAGAGGGGTCTTATTGCAATGGGAGGGGGTTATATTGCTATAGAGGGTCTTTATGGCAATGCGAGGGAGTTTATATCGCGATAGAAGGGCCTTAGCGCAATGGGAGGGGGTTTATATCGTGACAGAGGGGTCTTATCACAATGGGAGGGGGTTTATATCACGATAGAGGGGCCTTATCGCAATGGGAGGGGGTTTATATCGCGATAGAGGGGCCTTATCGCAATGGGAGGGGGTTTATATCGCGATAGAGGAGCCGTAGTGCAATGGGAGGGGGTTTATATCACAATAGAGGGGCCTTATCGCAATGGGAGGGGGTTTATATCGTGATAGAGGAGCCATAGTGCAATGGGAGGGGGGGTTATATCGCGATATAGGGGTCTTATCGCAATGGGAGGGGGTTTATATCGCGATAGAGGGGCCTTATCGCAATGGGGGCTGGACCCAGCTCACTCCCTGCCCCCCCCCATCCCCGTCGCACCGGGGCTCGGGGGGAGCCCGTGCTCCCGCAGGAACTCGTCCAGATCCACGTATTCCAGCTCCGGGGCCCCGGAACCGCGCTCCCACGGGGGGGGCCCCCCGAAGGCACCGGGGGGGGGCGTCCATCACCCTGGAACACGTGACACGATCATGGGGGGGGGGCACACACACACACACACACGGGACACGTGGGGGGGGGGCGGGGAATGGGGGGGGGGCACACCCCGCACGTGCGGAGCTCACGTGGGGGCGCCCACGTGCGGCTTCACCTCGGGTGACCCCGGGATGGATTCCCACGGTAGAGGGAGGGGGGGGAAGCCCAGGAGTGACGTGAGCGTGACGTCACGGGGAGGGGACACCACCACCCCCACCCCCCCCCCCCGGTTCCCTTTAACCCTCTCCCATGGGTCCCGGTCCCCCCCAATCCCGGGCTCCGTTTAAGGTCGTCCCCCCCCCGTTCCTATTCCCCTCCCGTTCCCCCCCCCTCCGGTCCCTGCTTCCCGTTCCCGTCCCCGTTCCCGTCCCCGTTCCCGTTCCCGTTCCCGTCCCCGTCCCCGTCCCCGTTCCCGTTCCGAACCTGCCGCCGATCCCTCGGCATGAGCCGCCCGCGGGGGCGCTGCGAAGCGCGCTCCCCCCCCCCCCCCGACCGAAGGCGGGGACAAAGAGGAGCCACGCCCCCACCGAGGCAATGAGCCAATTACAACCCGTTCCGCTATTTCCGCCCCGCCCACTCCCATGGGGACTCCGCCCCCCGGGCTCACGTTGCCCCTCCGCCATTGGTCCGCTCCCATCCAAGTCCCGCCCGCGCAGCACGTGTCGCCCCGCCCCTCCCCGCGACGGGCGGAGCTCCGCCCCCTCGCCCAGACCACGCCCCTCCTGGCTCCGGCAGCAGCCAATAGGAGCGCGGAGGGTGGGTGAGTGGGCGGGGCAGAGAGGGGTTGGCCGCGGTCACGCGGAGCTGCCATGGGGGCCGCGCGGGGGGGCGGGGCCTGACCTAGATTTGACCAATGGGGACGCGCGGGGTGGGAGGGGCCTGACCCAATTTTAGGCCTCAGCAGGAGGGGTGGGGGAGGTTAAGGGGCCGCG